TTGGGAACATCTGCTGAAGTGGGGGATCATTGCGATGATAAGGCATTGAGAAGGGCATCAAAACTCATCAACTGAACATGTTGCAGTGGTGTTCCTAACCCACGTGTGCACGGATGCTACCCGGCAGCAAAGACAAGCAGTCCTCACACACTCCTCGCTCATGCGCCAACGCTTCCCAGATGTCACTGCAACTGAACTCCGGGTGCTCCAAGCGGGCCCTGTTGATTCCTCTTCGCATCTGGCAAAGAGGGATCCCTCCACTCATTGCATGGAATCGTGAAGAAGGCCTCCGTGCCACCTCGTAGCCATCGACTGGGGCTCCCGCTCCAGTGCGATGCCGAAGGCGGCGTACCATGCTGGTAGCCCATCCCCAGTTATCCTGTGAGTGGTGGCGGCCGCCTGTCCACATGCGATGGAGTTCCACCGCGCGGGCGTCCTGGATCATCGTGGTGGCCCGATGCATGTCGCCTCCATGGATCGCTGCAAGCATCACCCCTGCTGCCAGGGGTCCACGGTGAACACCTGCAAGACAATGTACATATGCCCCTTCCCCTCTTTTGAGGGTGGCTTCCACCAAGTGCCAGGCCTGTACAGCCTCTGCGTCCCTGAATCTCTCATCAGCTGCAGCAAAGCGCACCTGCATACAGCCCTGAGGAACAATCCCTTGTTCCCCGGCTGCGCGCTGGGTGTGTACTGGCTGAAGGAACGCTGTCACCATGGCTGTAATGCCCTGTTCTGCGAAAAAGCTGCGAAGCGATTCTGTTGGCAAAGGGCCCAACCAAAGAGTGCCCATTCCCTGTGGCACTGGCAAAGGTGTGGGCGGCTCTGGCCTGCCGCTATGGCCGGGCTTGGACCATCTCTCCCTCGCCCACTGGTTGAAGATCTCGTCCTCTGGTGGGCTCCTGGATCTGGACCGCGCCGGCTGGCCACCCCTTCGGAAGGCTCCCGCCTCCCTAGGTCGGGCCTCGCGGGCTGGCTCCAAGTGAACCGGCAATGCAGGCTCCTCCTCCTCATCCTCAACAGCCTCCACCTCCGGCACAGGGCTCACCGCCCTGGCTGCTGCTGCCCGTACAGGTCCCCCTGCAGGGCTCACAGGGGCCCGATCGCCCAAAGATGCTGCTGATGATGTAGGGCCAGCTGCAGGCCATTGAAGCTCTTGGGTCGCTTGGAAAGCTTCCCGGGACATGTACTTCTTGGCAAAGCAGTCCGCTGCAGGGTGCTGTCCAGCGCAAGTCCTGCCGCTGCGCATCAAGATTCCGCACTTATGATCGAGGCGGCAGTCGGGATCTGCGCAGTTGTTCGTCTGGTACCTCAAGCAGAGCACATCTTGTTCGCGGCCTTTCAACCGCAAGGAGACCACCTTGGCGGGCACCAGGTTCTCGAGCGGGGCATTCCGGTAAGCCATCTTGGGCGATGTCAGCGTGAACCGGCGGGCCGCCCGGGCGCTAAGCCCTTGAGACGCCCAATGAGTGACATGTTCATGCACCAAGCTCAAGTCGCATTCTAGTTTGGCCTTTTCTAGATGTTGCTGCCACGTGCCCGGGCTAATGCTCTCCCATGTGGTCACATGCACTGATGACAGAGCAGACCTGAGAGCCCCGGCCAATTGCAGCTTGATCTTCACCGACAGCAAGTAGCGCACTGCACTATACCGCAAAGGCATCAAGCTCTGCCCCTCAGGCGGTTTCAACTGCCAGTTGGACAGAGCTTGAGTCTCAGTGGGTTCCAAACCTACCAAGGAAGCCAGGGTGGGCAAAACACGCCTTGCTGAATAACTTGTAAGACTGTCAGGATCCTGTACGTGATCCGACATGATCCGACGAATGGCTGATGTGATTGCGGATTGAGTCAGCGAGGCCAACTTTGTACTGTCAAAAACCATACCGAAATCACGCCGCTTCAAAAGTGGAACTGCTAAATAGGCTGGCTTGTACATCTCCCACCAATCCCACTGGGTTGTCACGAAAAACCGTGGGATGGCGAAGTCAAAGCCCCCATGCCTGAGGTTCTTTTGCTTTCCTTTTGGGCACCAACAGTGGATCATATTGGGGCTAGCCCGCAATACAACGGCCCGGCGAATATGGGCCATGCGAAGGCAGCCAAAGCCCTGAATCCAATGTCCAAGCATCCCAGTCCATGCAGGGTTGCCCGCCCTCTGGGCAGCAATGATGGCGGTCTCCAAAACCCTCAACATGGCAGGTTCCAGCACTGGGGCCTGTTTGGAGTTATCCCCAATGGCCGGCTTGGCCCTCACAACCTCCGGCTGTAACACTGAGTCCATGTGCAAAGGGATCAGCAAATTGCGTTGGAGCCATTTCAGTGAGTGATATGCCCTGCCCATTGCCTTGTGTGAATGCACAAACGCCTCAACTGTTGAAGCTTCCAGCTCAACAAGAGGGAAGCCATGAGTTCATCCCAGGTCATAACCGCTCGCGCCACAGTCGCGAACTCTGCACTGCCCTGCATGCACCTGCTGTGCCCGGCGCTGTGCTGAGTCCAGGCGCTCCTGCAGTGTGGCTGGCGGTAAGCCAGCTGTAGGGCCCTGCGCAGCTCGAAGGATCTGCACCAGCTGCTCCACCTGGGTCCTGCCTCTCGCCTCAAGCACCTTGGCTGGGGCCCTGGCCACCTGTCTCTCACTGACACGATGCCGGCGTTTGGGTGGGGTGCCTTCCAGCGGACCCACTGTAGACACTGCTGCATAAACCCCGGCAGAGGCCCTGGCCAGGTCCCGGAACTCCCGTCTCCGGGTTTGCAGCCAACTGTGTGCCAACCACTCCCCAATCTTCTGGGCTTGTGTCACGTCTGCAGGCCATGATGCTGTCGCCATGTAGTGACACGTTGGGCCCATGCAGCCGCCTCGACGGTGTCCCGAGGGCCGCGCACCTCTGGCTGGCCGGTGGTTCCCACCACCTGCACTGGGGGACACATCATGACCACGAAGAGCTGAAGGCCCTGCACGAAGCCCTTAAGCCGTCTCGCAGATGCGGCATATTTGAAACTCCTCCGCACATCCGTCACACACCGGCATGTCACAGACGTCGCAACAATTGCCTGTCGGCAAGCCACACCATGTACAAGCCGGCAGGAGCGGGTGGCCATTGGCTTCTTGGATATGCCATGACCATAGGGTCCCCGCAGCCCTCTGCTGATCGTCGAGGACACGCACGTGGCTCGGCTCGGCCCATGGCGGGTCTTCCCAAACCCGGCTGGGGCGCAAATAGGTGGCCCATACTGAGGAGATGTCTGCTCGAGACACCACAGCATGGTCCCTGTCCAAAATGGCCTCCAGGTATTGCGGGTAGATGCTGGTGACTCGCATGTCCCCATCCACAAACGGGGCAAGGTCATCCCGTGTGAGGCGGCGCGTCCCTGCTTCCCAGTCCAGGGACCGCCCTCCCAAGGGGACCACACCTGCCACAGTCCAATCTGGGTGAAGCCATGGGAACTGAAAGCCGCCGTAGCTCCTGTTGCACCTGACGCAATCGGCCTCGGTGCATGGGACTTCCAAAATAGGCTGCACCATGGTTGGAACCGACTCATAGGGCTTGTGCAACACAATGACGACATTGGATAGGTGCGCCATGGCCAGAGCACGCGGCATCCCTGCCGCGGCTTCCAGGAAGGCGCGAAGATTGCGTGGCGTGTCCACTGAGACAGTCGCCCATGCGGCCGTGCGGAATACATGGCCGAACATCAAGCAACCTGATCCTAGACACAAATACGAAAGAAAGCTGTTTTGACTCAAGCTTACATGTTCCCTGAATGATGCCATGTCACCCAAGGCCTGCCAAGCACTAACATGGAACATTTAATAAAGAGTTTTTGTATTTTTTTGAATAGAAGGTTAGTTTTTTGTAACTTGTTTGTGAATACAACTCTTTTAGTAACTCTTTTAGTAGAAACTAGTTGTTGAAACGATTCTTTGTAGCTTGTTTTGGAATAGAAGGTCGTCACAGCAACTGGGCTCAAAGTCTAAACAGCGATGTTTTGCAACTTGTTTTGAATAGAAGGTCGGGAATATGTCACCAAACAAGTCACCTCCGTTCAGCTGGTAGGTTACCCACTTGCCCAGTGGCGCCCTTTTCCTTTTTTTGGGGGAAGGGTTCCCCAATAAAAACTCCACCAACCCAAGAAATATGATGCCGAACCTTTTTTTTCCCCATTAAAAAAAAACACAAAAAAATCCACTGGGCATCTGAGGTTACAGGGGAAGGCCTCTTTGAGAACCCCTGGAAACCATTCCTGGCGCGCGGTTTGACGCCGCGAGCATCTCGTCAAAATCTCACATCTTTTTCAAACAAATGCAAACACATTTCTTGAGTTTGGTTGGCAAAAGCTGCGATCATGACCATGATTAGCTTACCAACCTTTCAACTAGTGCTTCAACAACTTGTTGATTTTTCTGTTCATTTGGACTAAAAACAAAGCTTATTCATGTGGTTTCGACTTTGAGCCCAGTTGCTGTAAAGCTTCAAATATGGGGGGGGACCGGGAATGAAGCGGGAGCCCTCTCCGATGTTCAAGCAGCAAACAGGGCGCCTGTGGCTTATGGCTCCCTTCGCTTTTACGGTGGGCTCGCAACCCAAAAAGCGATGCCTTCACGTGAACAGGGTGGAAGGTTGAGCTCCATGCTCCCAAACAAACACCATGGTGTCGCCAGGAAAGGAAAGCTGAACTTTGTGCTCACTTCTAAAATGTGGGTTCTCCCCCAAAAAAATAAAGCCTGAACTTGTTGGTTGCCGCTGAGATTTGGGAAAACCAAATTTTGGAGTTTTTTTCAGAGGAGGAGCCAAGACGAAGTGGGCCATTTCCGACTGTGGTACTTTGAGAACTAAAATGGTTTCCAGAAACCCAGAAACCCGACAGTGGTGTGTCTTTTTGAAGGATTGCACCCCCCAAAAAAAATATATTGTGGGTGTGTTTTGGTTTCTTCTGAAAACCACCCAAGCAAACTGGAACCCTCACGCCCAAGCGAGAATTTCCGCAGAACCTGCCATTGCCTGGAAGTGCCGCAAAGCCGTGGCTGCCGCCGCCATAGCCACATCTTCCCCCTGCCAAGTGAAATTCTACCCGCACAACCAGCCGTGCGCCGTCTGTTTTTGAGGGTACCCACTGTTGGGGCTGGTTTAAAGGGAAACCAAAAGGAACACCGTCATTTAGGGGACCCCTAGAAGCAAACATACCCACATAACCTTCCAACTGGGTTGAGTAGGTGACATCCTCAAGCCACACCCCAAAACTAGTTGCTTGAGAAGTCAAAATGCTCACTTGAATGGAGTCCCATCTCTCTCACGGAAGCGGAAGGGAAAGCGGAAAGCGGAACTATGAATGAACCAGGGGTCCAAATTCCCTCCCCCTCCAAAAAGGGTACAGAAAGAAGACGAGTAGCTGGTCTTCCCATGCTGCTTTGGGGCCTAGGCTGGACAATGCCCTAGCGACCAGACTCTCGCCCGTGCGTCTCAGCACTACACGCGTCGTACACAATGAGGCGCCAGCTTACCGCCTGAAACCAGCGGCTGCAAACTGCGCAGAAGGACACCTATCATGGGGGGCCCCTTCTGGGTGGCAACGGGCTCCCTTTCAACCGCCCGGTTCAAAAGCAGCATGTGGTCATTCGAACAACTACCATGGTTTTGCCGAAATTCTCCTTAGCATTCAAACAACTACCATGTTTTTTGCCGAAATTCTGGTATCTCCTTAGCTCCCTCTTTTGCAAGCCAATTTGGATACCCCCTCCTTGGCTACCAATTGCTGGTCCTCTATTGATGTCTCCCATTGACCGGCTGGCAGTCACAGTTCTGACCGCCCACTCGGCCCCCAGGGACCTGGACATAGGTTCACCTGAAGTGGTTACCTTCCATTTGCTTCAGCCCACTGCAAAACATGAAAGCTCATCTCACTCAGTTTGTTTCAAAGCAAAAAAACAAGTACTTCCAGCAGTGACAGATTCCCTTTGAAACCAACACCTTTGGGGGGGGTCCTTGGCATCACGGAACATGGTGTGTGTGGTGTGTGTGTGTGTGTCAAATGAAAGGGTTGAAAACGCGGATGTGCCTGGAAGAGCTCAACCACCTGCCACCCCTCTCAGGAAGCAAGCCAAAAGAAATACATATGCCTAAACAGGCTAGTCATACAGCCACTGTTCAACAATCACGGAAGTGCCATTTAACATCCCAAAACGTCCCTTGTCCACTTCCATGATTGTAAAAAGGAGGATGGCGCGTTCTTCGCCTGGGTATCTTTGCAACCCTTGGCATGGTAGCAAAAACAACTCGCCGTTTTGCAGCCCCCTAGTAAAAACGAACAGGACCCAAACAACAAAAGCCCTGAACATCTTGCCAAGAGTCAAGGGACCTGCTGAGCCGCGCCTCCTCGCAGCCCTGGAGAGTCACGCCATCCCTCAGTGATCTCTGGGTCTGGGGAGAAGTTCGGTCAACACGTGCGTGGTGGCCCTTAGAACTGGTTGTTGTTCAGAGCTGGAAAGCGCACACGTGCTTGCCACAAGTACAACATGTTAAGCTGTGTTTTGTTTTGTAGTGTGGCAAAACAAGTCAAACGTGAAACGAATAGCAAAAAAAACACACACGATGCTTCAGGCTTAAAGGAACCCAATGCAAAAAGACCCTTTTGCAAGAGGACGTTGCTGCTATCAAGGAAACACAAGAAAGTGCGCAGTTTGAAAGTAGGCGTGCGCAGGGCGCAACTGCATTTGTTTTACTGGGAGGCTAGTTGTGAACTTCAATTTCGCCAAAGATCGCTGGCTGCTTCGAATCGACCCGAAGCACAACGCAACCACCCAACCCAACAACCCCCTCCCTTTCCCCTGTTAGTGATAACCTTTTTTTCTCGGAAGATCCCTGAGAGCTTTTTTTTGGCGGAAAACGGGAACGTTTTGAGTCGGGGGGGGTGGAGATCCCAGGCGCTCGTCTGGCTGCTGCATGCCGGCGCCGCTCTCCAGCGCTGTGGCCTCGAATGCATGGCCCAGGTTTCTTTCGGGTTGGGGACCCTGGATTCAACCCGCGGGAATTGCACAAGGGGAAACTGGGCGGGGTTGGCGTTGGGTTCACTGGATTCTTCAACCCAATTTCTCAAGTTGGTTCACTGTAAAAGTACACTTCGTTTCAATTCCAAGGGAAACTGGATCACTATCAACTGGTGGCCTCGTTTCCATTGAAACCATCGCCACTTTCGGAGCCTCCCTTTCAAACTTCCCCCCCCTTGGCGCAGCGAGTCGCCAAGAGCTCGAGCAGCTCAGTGGCCTTGCCGCGCCAGCTGCGCAGCGGCCGGGGCCTCGCGGCAGGGCTGGGCTGGGGCTGGGCTGGGCTGTGGCGCTGGGCTGGGGCTGGGGCTGGGCGTGGGAAATGGTTTTTTCGGGGAAGAAATGGAATCCACGAATCTGTGTTACGGAAAGGGCACAACAGCAAAGACTCGACCCCCCCCCTTCCCCCCCTTTTTCCAGTTCTGTGATACAACAAGAAGTGCTTCCCAAAGACTACCCCCATATAAAGGGGGGAATCCCTTGTATTGCGGAAGCCGCGAGTGATCCCGCAACCGTTAGAGGGGTTGGGTGGGTTGGGGGGCTTGGGGGGCTGGGGGGCTGGGTTCTCGAAATTCTCTGTCCGGGGCGCACTCACGTTGCTCAAGCAGGAATTCGTCTTTCATCTGGGTTTCCTACGTGTCCCTTTTGTGGACCTCGAACAGTGGCGATCGTTTCAACGGAACCCAACTGGAAAGGCCTCACCTGGGGAGGGTGTTTGAGTTGGAGGACGGGGGTTGGTCCATTTGGTACTAAGGCGTGATCGCCGCAATCTTTGGGGGCGGAATTGCTATTGGGAATACAAAAACAACGATCACCATCGCCCTACACCCTCACAACTTACTTATACCCCTTCCAGAGTTTTTAAGGTTTGGTCGAGACTCAGGGAATCTCATAGTTGCAAAAACAAGCAGAAATCAAAGCTTCGCCGTTCAAGGCCATGACTAAGAATAGCCCAATCAAAAGACGAAACAAAAGGTCCAAAAGACCACACCGAAAAGAGAAAGAACAAAAAAACGGAAAATCCAACCCCCCATCCCAACCCCCCGACCGCGCCTGGCCCAGCGCCCGTCCGCGCCCAGCTCCGCCGCCCAGCGCAGCACATCTTCCGCGTGGCGCCGCAGCAGGCGCCGCACCCAGGGCTGCGCCTCCCGTCCGGCGCCGCTTTCGACCCGGAAAACACCGGGAAAAACCCAGCAAAAAACATGTTTTTGGAGGGGGGGGTCGTTGTGGGTTTGGGGTTTGGGGTTTGGGGTGGGTGTGGGGAATAGCGTGGTGTGGGTTTGGGGGGGTTTATTGTGGGGAAGGTTTGGTGTGGGTTTGGGGAACCTGTTGGGATGTTCTTCGGTTTCCGGCTGTTGAGGTGTTTGGTGTGTGCCCCGTCCCCCCTCCAAAAAAAAAACATTGGAGTCGGGACCAGTTGCATGCTGCCCACAAAAATCAAGCTGCAAATGCCACTCCCTCCCTCCCTCCCTTCCAGGAGTAAATTGTGCCCTAAGGATTGTTTTGTGGAGAGCTGGGCCAGCTGGTGGTTGCTTTTCTCACTACTACCTGGGTTTGAGGAGGAGGATTTCTCCGGAAAGTTGCCCTGCGGAAGCGCGGGTCCCGACCTCCCAAACCTGTAGGGACAAGGCAACGAATCAAAAATGCAACGTTGACTTACTAGGTCCTCCAGTAGAGAGGTTAGAATACGGGTACCCAATTGTTTCTGTAGTCGATAGCCCGCCCCCAAAAAAGGGTAAACGGGCACTACTGGTCTAGGAGATGCATGGAATGATGGTAGGAGACGTCCCCAATTGCAGAGTTAACCCACGCGGATCGACCAACACTTAAACAGCCCCTTTTTGGTTTCCCGAGTCTCCCAATTCTGGCTACTACAAAGTTCACAAACAAATCCTCTCAAGCAGCACCTTCGAAAGCGTCTTTTTGGGGGATCCCTGCGTCAAACAGGGCTCCCTATACTTCCGCTTCAAACATCACCCCCACCCAAACATACTCATGACTTTTAAAACAACCCAGGTTGAAAACGGATCCGGTTGCTGGACAGAACGATGGTTGAAAAGCATGGAAAAGGAATCAACCCCCTAGAAGGGTCGAAACCCCGTACCCCCAGTGAACATCCCAACCCCCACTAAAATAGGTTCTAAAATAGGTGGTGCACCTGAAAGTGTCTCCTTGGGATTTTTTTGGTCAAAGCTGGCCGACTGCGATGGCTTCCCGTACCAAGCATCCGACCCGTCCAGCTCGAGAGCTCGCTCCCCTCGCCTCCTCGCACGAGGCGATCTCCTGAGGCCGCCTGGAGCAGATTTCGCACGTGCGCATACTCCGCGGCAAATCAACATGGGACCTGGAAAAAGAAAAAGATCCCAAAGAAGGCAAGTCCTCTGAAAGACATGTCAATGTGTTTTTTTTGGGGGGGGGGAATCATGTTAACCTCCAGAACCCATACAGTCCGCTTGACCACGCTTGCGGAGTTTATGCAAAGAAACGCGGTGCGTGCGCGACTGTGTTTTTTCGGGAGGAACCCCCCCCAGTAAAAATACAACTTAGAACCTCCGTAGCAGGGATTCGTGGAACATGTCTGGGTTCTCAAATGAGGGTTGGTTTGCGGGCGCCCACCCGGCCTGCTGAAACCGTCAGAAAAATTGAGGACCAGACCAGTACAAAACGCCCCTTTGAACGGGGCCATGCCATCTCCGAATCGAATCGGGTCAAAGGATTCTCCTTTTGGATCAGACTGGCGACTGGGTCAACATGAGACATCCTCAACATGACTCCTGAATTTCTGAATGCCCATGCCCTAAACAGCTTCTTGATGCGGAGGAAGCAACCAACCAGCCCTCAATGTTGAGCCCCCCATCTGGTCACACCATCTGAGGGCCTCCACTCGTAGCCGAAGACGCCTTTACTCCGGTCCACCTCATACCTCGGCGCTCTAGCCGGGCAACCTGCATGCACAGAAAGCATAGGGTGTCCTTTTTCGAGCGGAGCCCTTTTTGGGATTTGGGTCTAGCGAGGACAACTCAGGACCCCACCAAACAGGAATTGCCAAGGCTTGCCCTTCCGTGCCCAAATAGCGCAAGGGCTAAATGTTCTGCAGGCAACCTTGCGAAGGCCGAGAATCCGCTCACCGAAGGGATTCGGGAGGATTCACGCCTCAAAACCAACCCAAATTGTAGGGGAAAAAAGAGCTCAAAGCTCAGATCCGGCCGACCGAGCAAGCTTGCGCTCTACCCCAACGCCCCCTCCCCAAAACAAACACAAATCCCCCCAAACCAACTTGGGATCCCCGAAAAAAATCGGAGGCGCCCCGCGTCCCGTGAACCCGGCCCGATCTTCGGCCGAGGCGGCCCGGCGGGCGGCTCCTGCGGCTGCCACTGCCTGAGGAAGGCCTCGCCGTCCCGGAGGGGGTCGATCCTCGGGGCCGCGTTCTGTTTTTTTGCACGCGAAAAAAAAACCGCGGAGGTTGGGTGGGGAGGTGATGGTTTCTTGGGAGTTGGTGGGAGTTTGGCGGGGGTTGGGGTTGAGATTTTTTGGGGGGAGTGGTTTTTCCGATGCTGACAACCCGCTTGGTGTCTTTTTGGAACCCCACACCTCACCATCCCCAACAAATTCCAGCTCTCCTCTTGGTTTCCCCCCCCCCCAAAAAAAAATGGTACCCCCCCCCAAAAAAAAAAAAAAAGGTACCCCCCAACCCCCCAACCCCCCCCGCCCCCAAAAAAAAGAAGAAGAAGAAGAAAAGAACCTGCCCTGAAACTCGGAGGCGCAGCTGGAGGGAACCAGGCGACCACTTCAAGGCACCACCCATCTTGGGGGGATGGCAAGCTGGGTGAAGCTTCACTCGGTTGCAAAATCTGCTCCCCTGCAAAAAGAAAATAACTTTTAGTGGTTTAATGGAAAACCCATTAGTTGGCAAAAAGTTAAAGTCCCAACATCCAAGCGAAATGCAACAAAGTTCATCCGTTCCTGAGTGGATGGGCGAGAAAAAGCATTGCCGAACTGGTTGCTCTAGGGGTTGATTCCAAAAACCAGCCAGTTCCCCAGGGTGTTTGATGGTTTTCTAGGAAAAAGGATCTCTGGAAAGAATGGAGAAGTTAGCCCTAGAGTTGTATTTACCACCTGGTAATTAACCAGCCCCAAAAAGTGACGTCCAAGTCCAAGAACTCCGGGAGTGGCATTGAGAAAGCGCCTCACCTCCCGCAGCTGGTAAGAGGTGTAGGTGGGGGTTTCTCAAAATGGGAATCGGCCCTAGTCTCAGTTTTGGTTCCCTTTAAACGCAGCCAAAGGTCCACCATTTGGAGGAACTCCATTTGTATAGGTCCGCACCAACCCCAAACTAGGCGGGTCTTTTGAGTCTCGAGCCCTTGCCCGCGCCGCTTATGGAAACTCGCCTCTTCCTTTAGATATAAAACCCATTTTGATTCACCCCCTGTCAGGTCCATATGGTCCATGGTCTGGGGTACTTTCCCGGAGCCAACCGGGCGTACCGGAAAAACTGCTGGTCGCGGTGTGTTTGTCTAAAGTCGCGTTGCACAAACGGACCCCTAAGCCACCATGATTCCTTGGGGAAACTTGGGCAACCGCTCGACCGAAGCTCACATGGATTGCCGGGGCGTGCGGGAAACCGAGTTTCAAAACACACCAGGGCCGACCCCTTTTCCCGGCGTGGAAGCCCCCCCCCCCCAAAAAAAAAAACGGCGCTCATATGCAGGTTGCTTTGCTCCTTGGACATTTTGCGCCACTCAGGTACCACAGCAATCCTCGCTCGGGTTTTGTGAACGGTTGTGTAGATACTGGCGGTGGGCGGTGCGCCGGGCGCCGGCCGTTTTTTTCTTCTCTGGCCCCTGCTGGGTGCGCTCGGTGTTAAATCGTTTCGAGGCGGTCATTTGGCCGCCCATTTGTCAAGTCCCCCTGTCCCCCTGGCCTTTTGCCACCCTTTGCTGGGGAGTCCGGCAGCCGCCCAGGATAAAAGCCGCCCACTTTCAAGACCCAAACCTTCCATTTGTTTGAGCCCCGGCCCCCGGGGAAAAATAAAATATGGCCAGTACTGATAGGTTCCCTTTAAAGCCAGCAAGGGGAAAAAACATTCCTAAGCACATGGAAGAAACAAACTTTCTTTCAACTCGTGGGCAGCGCTCCTGGCGCTGCCGGGTCTCGCTGGACAAACCTATCGCAACTTCCGTCGGATCGCCCTCCGCCCACGATCCAAAAGCAATCCTCCAACTCAAAGATCGCGGCTTTTCCAACCTGGCCAGTTCATGGCTGTCGGATCTTTGAACAGGCGTCCTTTCAATAAAGGTCCTACTTCACACCAACCGGTTCTGCTCAGGGCAGGGCTTGCCTCGGAAACACCGCGAGGTCGAAAAGCGCCACCTCTGGCGCTTTTCGGAACTAACTCGGAAGGCAACTTGCCAAGACCAATGTAGCGCCAACAAAAACCGCTCGCAACCTGGCTCAACAGAAACAGAAATCTTGGCCGTCCTGGAGAATAGAAATCAAACAGACAAGCTCCCAGATCCCAGATGCGCGGAAAAACTTGGGAAACGCAAGGCCAATTGCTTGTTTGACCGGGCTCAAAAGCTACTTCCCCTTGCATGCCTCCCATACCTGCTTGTACAAGCACTCCATGGGTGCGTTGATGACGAAAAGCATTCATAAATACTGGGGTCCTCCATGGACACGTGGTTAAGCCGCCCCCCGCCCCCGCGCTAAGCTCGGCCAGCTCACACAACTACTACCGCCCCCAAAACTATCCCCTGCTACGTTGCACGCTGCACTCCTCAATTGGTGCGACTACGGCTGGGGCCCTCAACCCAAGTGATGGTTTGGCTTGACCCAAGTTGTGCATGGTTTGGCCCACTCGCTTGACACATTGCCCGCTCCCATGATCCAAGGCTGGATTTGTAACCCCATGGGAGTCACGGTCAAAACGTGCTGATCCTGCAATGGACATGGCTGATGCGTGCGTAACTACTGTGGATGGACGAAATCCTGCACCACTTTGAAGCCATGCGAAACCATTTGTTTGTTGGTATTGACAGGAGAATCATCATTCTAGGACTTCTTAGGTGGTGCAGGATTTCGTCCACCCACAGTATGACAAACCTGCCGCGAAGAATACCCAACTCGGCTGTGGGTTCATACAATCAGCCATGTCTGCCCTTTGTCCTATCAAGAGGGAGGGTTTCTCCGTTCCTGCCTATTGCAGGATGCGGGCAGCTCCTCCACCAATAAAGCCCTACCAAGGCTGCTCCACTGCACAAGGGCAGAAATGGGAGAATCAGAAGATCATGTTCAATCTGGCTTGAGTACAAGATTCTCAGAGCAATCTTGATGCGCAGCGCCGAGGGTCACCCTCGGACTGCACTCTCACCCACGACTCGCGACTCCGGGCATGCAAAGACCTCGTGTATGTGCGCGTGTGTGTTTCCATGTTTGGCATCATGTGCATACACATGATCACATGTGTTCATGTGAGCCACTACGTCTACTACTAGTACGTGCGTCTCTGATGATCACATTCACGCCAAAATATATTCCCGCCTCGGTCTTACCGAATCCGTCCGAATCAAAGCCTCGGGTATTTTGCGGTCGGTCAGTTGGTCTCACTGCGGCCGGCTGCCGCTCTTTGTTGGCTCACGCCCAGCCCATGCGCCTTGGCTCTGAATCCCAAAGCGGGTCCCATGGAGTTTTCGCCAAGTAGGGCAACCTTGGGGCCCTTTTTGGGGCCCTGCAGCCTAGATGGGACTGGCAAGATAGAACAAGGCGAACACTAGAATTGAAATGCATCCCCTTTCAACCTAATACTGATTGAGTCAAAAGCAAACCTGGTTTTAAAAAGGTCTACCCAAATCCTTGCAAGGAAATTAGTATGTAGCCGCACACATATATGGCTGGGACCGCCCCTTACTAACCTTCATCTACCCGGGTTTCGATTATGGCTCAATTGATGACAGGACACCTATGCTCGCAAGGGACTAAAACTCCCTTTCCCTCATGGATCTATCAACGCCAAGCTGCGACAGGTTGGGGCGGATGGTGCGGGTGGTGAAAAACAGGTCCTGGCGTGAAAATTTTCCGAGTCAACCTCCATGAAGGGAAAGCCTGGCCTGGCCCTGGGCCCATTATGATGACTCGAGGGGTCGCAAAGTCAGAAACTGGGGGTTTCCCTTTAAGCCACCACTGAACCTTGGGCTGACTTTGTCGACTCCAGACAGCCCCGTCCAGCGATCTCTCTCTGGCAGCCACCCGTTTGGGGGAGGGACCCGGGGGCAAAAACAAACATGTCCCTGCCAGAAGGCGAGCGGGCTTCGCAACTCCGCCGCCTTGGTCACGTCATCCTTCGCCAGCGCAATGGGCGTCTCGCCCGTCAGCATGCGCTTGGACTGGGCCACGGCAGAACGGCTAAGAGGGGCGCCGAAACAATGTTCTGTATCTGACCTTCATATGAACGCCTGTAATCCTGTGTGTGTGCGCAGACTTATGCGCACATAAATGTGCAAATCGAATAACCATGGTGATACCAAATAGTTAATATAGACAATATAGACCCTGCAAATAAGGCTGTGGCTCAAGAAAAAACGGCAGCAAAATGGAACCCTGGTAAGTGGAAACACGGACCAAAACCGCGTAACCCCTCCTGTTTAATTTTGAGCCACAGCCATATGTACATACTTGCACACAAGGTTTCCCAAGCCACGGTCGTGCTCAGACACCCCCAGCTGCAAAAACTCTCAAGCCAATCGCCAAGGGAGACGCGCGGATAGGGAATGGCATGTTGACCAGTGTCCGTCTTTCAACCAAAACCAGGGAGGATACGTGTTGAAACTCGTCCACGGGAATATGAGTAAGGAGAGAGTACGAAGGCTCCTTTGTCCCCCCTGGTCTGGCCTTCGAACGTTTCGCATCTGAAGCCACGCAAACCAATCCTGGTGTTTCTGTGGACCCCAGGAACCCCGAGCGCAAGCACAACCGATCCCAGAGCACCACTTCCTTCTAAAGTTTAAAGGGTGTGATCAAATCCTTGTTGTTCGTTGGCTTTTTGAAGGACATGGGCAACCCCAAAAAGGGCGGGTGCTTAATATCCTAGTAGGTGAGTGGGTGTCCTGTTTGGTTCAGGTCTCTTAGAACTTTCGTGTCATATCTCCGTTTCAACCCGAGCGCCTGGTGTGTGTGTGTGTGTGTGTGTGTGTGTGTGTGTGTGTGTGTGTGTGTGTGTGTGTGTGTGTGTGTGTGTGTGTGTGTGTGTGTGTGTGTGTGTGTGTGTGTGTGTGTGTGTGTGTGTGTGTGTGTGTGTGTGTGTGTGTGTGTGTGTGTGTGTGTGTGTGTGTGTGTGTGTGTGTGTGGGTGTGTGTGTGTGTGTGTGTGTGTGTGTGTGGTGTGTGTGTGTGTGTGTGTGTGTGTGTGTGTGTGTGTGTGTGTGTGTGTGTGTGTGTGTGTGTGTGTGTG